CCCCCCCCCCTACCCCAACTCGGACTTGTTACGTATTGCTGGGCTTGACCCCCTTCCCCTTCCAACCCCTCCGGAATTTCCGGAAATTCCGGTACTAATTTTTAGTACTAATTATTTAAGGGCGGTTCGGAAGTACTGAAAAAGTACTGAAATTCCAAAAAAAAGGTCCGGATTTTTTTTTTAATTTTTTGTCATTTTTTTCGCAATTTTCAAATTTCCTCAAATGGAGGCACTGAAAAAGTACGGAATTTCTCTGTTGGAGGAGGTACTGAATTTCTTGAGAAAGCACCGTAAAAGTACTTATTTTTGATCTGCCTGTTTTAGTAGACACACTGATAGTACAATTAACGGGGGGATGTCCCCCTGCCCCCCCCCTGTCTACGCCACTGGAACTACTTCGTAAATACTCAAAATTTTCTTTTAACGGAGTTACAAGCTTTCAAAGTCTCCGCATTCTGTCCAAATTCTCCGATTGACTCGTTCCACTGTGCGGCGCGCAAGTCGATGCGATCTTGGCGCTAGCCGCGCTCGGTGACCAGCGCCGCGTTCACTTTCGGTTTCGCTCTCGTCGGTCGCACGAATCGTCGTCGGAACCAGTTGTCCGTCGTTCGCCGGCCGGCACGCGAATTTTTTCCCCACTTTCTTCAAATTGGATTTCGGCAACCCTCGAGGCGTCCGGCTCTAAGCTTCTCCCTGCCCGGCCCGCCCGCTCGGAATGTGCGACACCACCTCCTGTGCTTCGGTCCTTTAGACGGGCACTCTTCACCCGACTGTGCGCTTCCGGCAGGATCCCCACTTCCGTTTCCGGTTAACTCCTGTACAAGTTACCACGCTTAATCTAGGTAATTCTCAGGAATGGTTTTGTTTTTTTTTTTTTTTTTTTTTTTTTTTTTTTTAATGTGTGTGTAGAATTGGTTTTAAGAACCGCTATGTGACCAACACGTGAATATCTATGAGTAACGGACAACACCGCCTAACTGACAATTTTGACAAAAATGACTTTGCGACTTCGCGGCTCTCCACAGTATACACTGAAAAAAAAGAATCTTAAATTTGCCGCCAAAAAGTATTTCATTCTTAATCAAGGATTTTTCTGGTTAATATAAGCTACTTTTTTGCTTAACGCGAACATTATTTTTCTTGTATCAAGACAAAGTCAGCTTAAAGCAAGATAAGAAACATTCTTGGCGGCAAATTCAAGAATTGTCATGCTCGATCCAAGCTACTTTTTTTTCAGTGATGGAATAACTGATGATGATGGTTGTTTTCCAAATCTTTAGGGGAGTGTTTAGATGACGCTGTAATGTATAAAAAAAATGCAAATTTAATCATAAAATTACACAAATGGCGAAGTTCTTCGTTCTGCAAAATCGTCAGTTTGCAGATAGGCGGTATTGTTCGGTAGCCATCGCGAAGTAGACAAGTTGTACGAATAATTTTTATTGCTTCATTTGAGAGTGTTTAATGAGCTGAGTTCGCAGTATTTTTCACATTTTTTTTCTTAAATGGAAAATTGTAGAAAAATTGATTCAAAAAGGAGAAAATGTACCGCCTCGTGACGGCATCTGGCGGCATTTCTGTCGCAAATCTCATTTATTTTAGCAGATTCGGTTATTTTGTCACATTTTCTCCCAGACTTGTTCAATCAATAAGCCAAGATACCCTCCTACTCAGTTCTCTTTGTAGATTCATCTTGAACTTGAAATTTGTCCAGTCTCAGACACCCGCAAATTTTGAATTTTGCCAAAAACGATATCGATCGCGAAAGGGCGAAACCAAGTACCTCCGTTTGCTACACTGCAGACTTCCTGTCACACGTCATTTTTTCTTTGAAAAACTCGTCAACGTAATTTCTTGAAAACTACCTTGATATTGTTTGTAGAGAATATCCTGTATAAATTTCGAGCAACGAAGTTGACTTGTTCCTCTTCGAAAAAATGAAATAGGAGCGTCAAATATCGAGGTGGAGGTAAGTGGTTTCACACTTTGGTCATCGATATAAAAAACAAGGTTGATTTGATTTAATCCAAAGTCGCATATAAAAAAGAGTGACAATTCGATAGTGTAACTGCTTTAACGATAATGTACATATACACTGAAATAATGAAATGCATAGGGAAAAAATTCTCTAATCTAATACATTTTTCAGCAAGCTGATTACTAAAATTGATAGACAATAAGCTGTACACAGAGAAGATAGATAGAAGAAAAATTGAGATCCTACTGATGAAAGCGGGTGGTTGGAATGGACAAAGGAGTTAAGTAATAGACTAACTGAAGGCAACCCACGAGAGACCATATAGCTAGTCCATCATCTCTCCCTTTAGTCTGTAAGGATCACCCGTTTCGACCAATAGGATCACTCTATTTTCCCTTCTTCTTCTTTGTCCATCGCTTTGTCTATCAATTTCAATAATCGGCTTCCTGATGGCTGAACAAATCAAACTACGTTCCAGATTCCACACTCCCCTCATCAAAGTACCTCAAGGCGAATTATGAACCTATGCGTTATCATCTATACAGTTTTTTCCCAGTGGCGCTGGCATAGAAAAGTCTTGAACAAATCGTCGCTCCTCTGGTGTAAGGGCTTTCTCGATTTCCGTATTATCCCTAGAACTCAGGAATTTATATGTGAAAGAAGGCTCACGTGGGAAATGAGAAACGCCCTTACGTCTGAAGGACAACGAAATCGGGCATCGCATTGTGTTTCGCTCAGAGAGTACTGAATCGCTTTGTGCTGGGCTAGGGCGCCGATGAAGTCACTTTTTGAAGCTTCGCTCAGAAAATACACACTGGAAAAAAAAAACACATTGGATCTAGACTTCAGACTCTTAAGGTGATTCGATGGACGCCATATTTTGTGTCAGAACGGCATGCGATATATCGCATCAATTGGTTCCATTTTTTCAGCTACTCGTCATTTTTCTCCAATTTTGAGATCGCAATTCTGTTGTCAGGAGACTAAAGCACTCACTTACCAATTTTAACAACGAAATTCAACGTAATAAAGGCGTGGTTTTTTTAGAGAGAAAATATCGCATTCGAGTGCAGTTTCGATATCAGTATCGAATGCGATATTTTCTCTCTAAAAAAACCACTCCTTTATTACGTTGAATTTCGTTGCTAAAATTGGTAAGTGAGTGCTTTAGTCTCCTGACAACAGAATTGCGATCTCAAAATTGGAGAAAAATGACGAGTAGCTGAAAAAATGGAACCAATTGATGCGATATATCGCATGTCGTTCTGACACAAAATATGGCGTCCATCGAATCACCTTAAAAACATCGACAAGAAAAACTACTCTTGATTCCATCGGATTTTCGCTTAGATCAAGAACCAAGCCTCTTAATTTGAGCGGATTTCCTTTTGATTTAAGCAAAAATCTGATTGAATCGAGAGTGTTTTTTCTTGTCAGTGTTTTCAAGAGTCTGGACTCTATATCCAATGTGTTTTTTCTTTCCAGTGCTGGTATAAAATTTATTTTATAAGAATCCGTAGTCTCTTACATTTTTTACGTTGTTACAAATCTGGTTAACATATAATTTGCCAAACTGCGCGAAAAGTATCGATTTAAATTAATTCTGAAAACACCTCGCAGCCCTCGATTCATTCACAAGCCGCCGCGTTGAAAAAACGCCGTATGGTTCCGTATGGTTCCCACTGTTAGGCGAACAAGAGGCTAGAAATGCATCGTTCAAGGATTGACTTGGCGATGTGAATCCATGCACGGGAAACGATTTGATTTGAACTTGACCTCTCCATTTTTCCATATTCCTTCTTCGAATCTCATTTTAAATGCCTGAAACAAACCGATAAATAAAGTTGGGATTTTGAATTTTTATAATAAACCTATTTTGGCTTGGTAACAAGCAGGAGTCTTATTTACAGGAATCTCAGATTAAGTTGCTGTGAGTCCATGCGCGGGAAACGAAACTTGATTTGAATTTATCCTCTTGATTTTTCCACATTCCTTCTTCTAATCTCGTTTTATTTGCCTAAAACGAACAAATAAATAAAGTTGGGATTTTGAATTTTTGTAACAAACCTATTTTGGCTTGGTAACAAGGAGGAATCTTACAGAAATCTCAGATAAAGTTAGTTTTTCTGCTGTTCTAACCAGGAGGAGAGGTGGCTTCATTTTCTTCTTCCAGCGCTCCGTCTTTATTCTTTGCCACGATCGTTGCAACGAGCCGCGGTATTGCAAGGCAGCACAAAAACGCAGTGACGATTCTTGCCGGTCGGCAACACTGCTTTTCCCCCATTTAAATTCATTATAAATATCGTTTTTAGATTGGGCGAGCTCACCAATAATCGATTGTTTTACATTAATTTAAATGGAAGGAAACCAGTGTTGCCATGTTTCAAGAATCGTCACTGCGACAATGAGATGAACCGATAAACGCCATCAACGTCGCACGCACCGGGGCTCTGCTAGGCGGGTGGCGGGGAGCTGGAAGAACAGAACGGATCGAGCAGTGGCGTGGCGTGCTTTGCGATGTATCGATTGATACGCCACTCAAAACTATGAAAAAAGATCGATTATCAGGGTGTTCGCAGCGAACACCTTAGTAATCGATTCTTTACCATAGCTTCAAATGGCGAGGTATCGATAATCGATTATTCACGCCACGCCACTGGATCGAGGCGCTGAGATTACGGACGAATCGATAGTTCGGCGTCAATTTTTTGCGGCAGGAGAAGTGGCTTAGCCTTGACCAAATTATTTTCGCGCAGTCGCAGCTGCCGCGGTCGCAGTTATACCCGAGAGCCACGCGGGCTCACGAGACACGAAATGCGGCCTCGCTGACCCTCAATCTCGCACCATTATACTACCGCGCTAAGAAAAAAAGCCGTAAGAGCCTTCAGAGGATGCCGAATTTCATGCGACCAATCACGAATTTTCGGGAGGATTTCAAATAGTTTCGTCCCGATTTTTCAGAGAATTGTTCGCAATTCGATCTAAAATGACTGAAAAATTTAAGGAACAATATTCATAACTTTCTTCAAAAGTAGACATTCTCTGCGAGGAAATTTGGCAACGATCGAATGCTCATACGGATTTTTTCCTTAGCACCCGCAGTGTACTGCTGCTCGAACTTAACCTCAAAATTTAAGAGGGCTCTCCCACCGTCCGCGTCCTGATAGGATGAGCCCTCATCAGGCGTTCACAAATTTCCCTTGATTTATCCTCGAACAATTTCACAGAAATTCATTGATGTTTCTATTCCAATTTTTCAGAGGAATTTATTCACAATTTAATCCCAAGTATCTGAAATTTTCTAAGAATGATACTCACAAATCTCCCCCAAAATGAATATTTTATCACGAAAAATCTGGCAACTTTTGAATCTTCATACGGCGTTTTTCCGAGGCAAGGCAATTTTGGCCCAGGAAGCTTTGTTTTTGATCGCCATCAGGGTTTGTGACAAGTCGGAAATCTGCATAATTCATGGTGTGCAGACTGTAAATAACCGAGAAAAATAGAGTCGTCAGCGAACGAAAACTTTCGGGGAAAATCAAGGAAAAATCAGGAAAGCCGTCCAGAAACCAGGAACCTTTCTTTCTACCGCTTGAAGCCATTTTGTTTTCAAAATTGGCGGAAATTTTAAGTGCCAGCCCTTAAGGTGTATGCTATTACACCTGAGCCGCCATTATTGACCTCTCAAATAACATGTTTGAATCTTCAAATCATCATAGTGGAGAATCTCTATTTGAACGTACACTGAAGAATCAGCTAAAAGATGAAACAATTCTCTGTTCATACCTGGAACTCAGGAGAGTTATATCGCAACCCCCCCCCCCCCCNTAAAATGCCCGCCAAAATGGGAGAAAACTTAAATTCCACACAGGGAATGAGCTTCTGAAAATCAGGGAATGACTAAAGCCAAGAATAAATTGTAGACACCATGCAGGGCCGGGTTCACCTACTTGCCGCCCATGGGCCGCCTATATTTTGCCGCCCCCTTCTCATTCGTTTTGAAACTCGATAAAAACCATAAAATGAACGTGCCAGCGGGGGAGGGGTGCATAAGACGCATTTACTCGTGTTCAAAACATTTTTTGGGAAAGCCCTGTCAACACAACTAGCAAAAGCTCACGAAACTTTGCGCGAAAGTTAAGTTCCGTAAACCTATCTCTGTGGGGACAAGGCCTATTCATAAGAAATGAACGAAAAAATTATGAAAGAACAAACATAAATGTGGTTCAATGATTTTAACTTCCGCCGCCGCGCCCCGCAGACCGCACCGTGTTGGACGCAATGCGTGAAGTATTCACGCAGTCTTGTAGGCGCTATGCGTTTCACGCTGACCGCACTGTGTTTGGCGTAATGCGTGAAGTATTCATGCATTCTTGTAGGCGCTATCCGTTTCACGCTGACCGCAATGACCGCAATGTGCTTGATGCAATGCGTGAAGTATTCGTGTAATCTTGTAGGCGCTAATATGTGTTACATGCCGATCGCCGCGCCGATGGCTTCTCCTTTTCATCTCAAGTCCTCGTTATCATTTCTTTTTAAGTCGCGCCGTTCTAGGCCAAATTGCGTGTTTGGTTTCTCTCGTAACTCGAATTATTGAGGGTGCTGTCTCTTGTATCACTAAGAGACGACAAAATTAGAAATTACTATACTCTCAGGAGATGAGAGATTTTGTCGCCTTTTCTCGTTTGTATTTTTGTTTTTATAGATCCGATTTTTATTTATACCTAAACTTTAAAAAATTGCAAATTTTTGTCGCCCCTTAGATTTGCCGCCATGGGCCGCGGCCCATGTGGCCACCCCCCTAATTCGGCCCTGACACCATGGCCGTATTTCTTTGGGAGATTTTCATATTTTTGAATACCCGCAGTAAGGACAAGTAACCACACTGAGAAAAAACTGTGGTTATAATTACCATATTAGTGGTGTTCAGTATTCACTCTCAATTTGTAGTGGCCGTAACCAATAATAGTGATATTTTTACTGGAGCAATCGTAATTTTACAAATGTGCGGTAGTAAAAATACCATTTAATGGTAAAAATATCTCTATTATTGGTTATGGCAACTACTTATCAAGAGATCATTTTGAACACCGCTAATATGGTAATTATAACTATAATTTTTTCTCATCGCAAAATTTGGAAGAAACGCGACTGAAATGGAGCAAAATCGACGCGTCGTTTCGTCGCTCGTTCAGGTCGAACGACGACGACGCACAGTGGACCGATTCAATTAGAGACGTCGGTCACAAAATGTTTGACCAAAACTGCAAGACGTTTATTTCGGCTCATTTTAAATATCAAAATTCAAGGGGTGCTTGAGGAGTACTGCCAAGGGGGGCGGAAAAAAAATCACGAGAAAACCAATGAAACCACTTTTACAACCTCAAAGTTTGTAGAAACGGAGTTGCAAGCGTTTGAAGTTTCCAAATTTTGCCCGACCGCTCCTACCGACTCGAGCCAGTGTGCGGCGCACAGTGGATCGAGTTAACAGAGGAGTTCGGACAAAATTTGGAAACCTTACACGCTTATAACTCCGTTTATACAAGACTTGGAGGTTCTAAAAGTGGTACCATTGGTTTCCTCGTGAAATGTTCTTCAAAAAGCACCCCTCGAAATTTAAAACGTGACAAAATAAACATGAAAATTTGCAGTTTTAGTCAAAAATTTCACGTTCGACCTCTCGTATTGACTCGATCCACTGTGCGGCGTCTCACGTGTCTGGCGTCAGACCGGCCACGGTCGGAAAATGAACCCGGCCAAGTTCGCCTAAGTTCGCTTTCTCACCCACCGACCGGACCGCTTGCCATTATTCAACGTTTCGCGACGTTTTCCCATATTCGGAAACCGGCGCTACCGCACCGAGCCTCATCCCCCCCCCCCCCNGGTCATCGTTTCGTCCACGCATCGGCATCGGTTCACCTTCTGCATCAGTCACCGTACTCACCGTTTGGCCACGACGGGATCGGAGCTCCCGTTCCGTACGTGACCGCTCGCTCCTTTACGGCCACCTGTGCTGTCCTGCCGTACCCAGGCGAAACGCCGTATGAACTTTCCGACGTTGCCAAATTTCTTCAGATAAAATTTTCAGAGGGCCTGATGTCGCAGACTCTAGCTGGAGTCAAAACAAGCAGTAAGCTCCAACGCATTCGCGTCGGAAAGCGGCTCTGGCGACGGTAGTTGTTAAACGTTTACGGTTTCCTTGGTAACCTTTGTTTGCTATCAGCTGATATCGAGTAATATGCCTAGGAAGCTCCAACCACTGCATTCTTCCAAAAAACCGCGAAAACTTTAAAATTCAAAATTTCAAATTTTGAACGTAAAGTACATTTCTTCCATCACGAGATTAAAGCACAGACAAGTTTTGAATTATTGACTGTATCACCATGATTCCAAAAATACACTACACAACATAGCATTGGCTAACAATAAAACAATATGCAATAAAATAAAGTCATGACAAGGTACATAGTCGAAAATGGCGCCGATTCCCATCAACCAACGCGCGGTCTCTCCAATGTAACATGGTCCATTGATACTCCCCAGCTGGGACCGTCCGGAATAGCAGCTCTAGTGCAAGCACCAGAGCCGCTAAAAGCAGGCTCTTTATAGAAAATGGCTCATGAATTACGATGGCGTACATCGGAAAAGTCTGAAATTAGGCGAAATTTCGCAGGTCGACTCGAGGTCGATGTGGTTGACTTTTTCGATCAAATCCTTATGAAAGACGTCTTTTTTCAACCCAATCCACTAGTCTTTTGTGCCCATCAGCAGCCGACGTTTGAACCTATCATTCGAAATTTCTTGATCCACTTCTCGCGGGTCGTAAAGTGGATGGGAGTAAACGGTTTCATCAGAAACCTCGAAAAGCATCCAATTATTTCAAAATGGCAGTGTTCTTTGCGACAAATAAAACGCCTGAGCAACAGCATCCGCGGTGAGGTGATGGTGATGAAGTAAAGTGTAAAAAGTACACATGTTTTTGTATCTCTCTGTTATAATTCGTATGATATTCTTTGTAGAATAAGACGTGTTGCATCTACCAATTGACGCGCTTTTTTGAACCTAATCCGGGATTTGGCTCATTTATTCTTCAGCAGGTCGATTGTCGAATCGTTATCGAATGAACTCGATCAATAAATCCCTATCTTGGCAATGCTTTTCATCGATCGAGGTCATTCGATAACGATTCAACCATCGACCTGCTAGGATTTTGCTGAAAATTTGATACTTGATTCTAATGGGTCTAAATTCCAACGGTATCTATCCAGAAAATTAACCGAATTTAGTCGCAAAAACTCGCCTATTCATTCGAATATTCACAATCGAATCGGTCATTCTCAAAAAGACTTCAACGCCAAAAAAATCAAAAAATTTTGGTAGTTCGGTATTGCTAAGGCATTCTTGCATCTCGTTGCAAAGTGCGACGAGTAGGAGAACGGAATTTTAAGGCGTAGGTCATCATAAAAATTGAAAGAAAGAAAACAGTATTTCATCGGAAGAATGGCAACATCCGAATGTTAATACGGCGTTTTTCCCGAGCATGGCAATGTAGTTGTTTCATTTGTGGTTGTTGTTGTTGTTGGATTGGAGGCTGGGTCACCATTCACTGCTTCATTGTGCAAAGGGTACTAATCGATCTTTTGCAAGGTCCTAGTATTTACGGTTTAAACGTCGTTTCCAGAGACAAATGAACCATCCACCACGTAGCTTTTTTCTCCTCCTAATTTGATGAAGTAGATTTTGATTCCGTATGGAGTCAGTGACCGGGACTGGATACTATGTTGACTCTCGAGAGATTACAATGAATGTCGGAGATTGCATATTTTACTATACTCCGAGCCCTCAAATTTTTCTGGGTGCGAACCTAAGACCTTATTAACCAAAAATCGTCGTCCCCGGACGAAGGAACGGAACTCCGTTCGAAGGTTGCCAAATAATTGACTCAATTAGTTAATTTATTTTACAAAAATGTTCCTGTGCAACTTTTATCCAAAATTTTCTGATTTTTTATGAAGTCTGAGGAAAAATCAGTGAAATTTTCAATTAGGACTGCCCAAGATTTTGTCGGTTACTTTCCAAGTTGTGCGAAAGGAACTTTGCAACATTGAAATGGAGTTTCGTTTTTTCGTGAGGGAAAATCAGACATGCTGCAACCACTAAACCAACCTTGCAACTTATAGCCCTCTGGTGACTCTAAAAAACCCTTTTTTGGGGAGCTGCACCATTCATCCTTCAAACAACTTATTTTTTGGCTCCTAAGCAGAATCATTAATTCGTGAACTCGTTGAGCTAGCTGTCTAACTTATGGCTATCAAGAAGGCAAATTCAAAATTGTTGCGCATAATAAAAAATATTCTACCCACAAAAATAAACGTTTCCACCATTGTAGCGCGAAATCTGAAGTAAAACGTCTTTATTTCTCCTCGTCACTGACATGCAGTAGCGAAAATCACTGGGTAAAGTCGGGTGCACCTTCGTTTGAATGGTTATGCAATTTTAGCTGCTAGGAAGTTCGAATAATTGCACAAGCCTTCAGGAACCAATCGTGCTCCTACTCGAGTACGCCAAACATGATTTCTAGTCAGTTGTGCGTCTCAAACAGCAGATCGCATCCTTGTGGCTGAATTGTAGGAATAGCTAAAATTATAGTTGCCAATTTTACCTCTGAAAAGGTAAAGGAATATTATAAAAAAATTAGAAAATACGGAAGTTTTAAAGGCAGTTGCGGTCAGAAAAGTTTAACAATCGAACAATTTCAATGGTTACCAAATCCAAATTCAATGCACGTTGCATGACCTCCACATTTTTCACCAACTTGATACTAATGTACTTTTTCCTCCTTTTCTGTTTCAGATCGTGTGAAACATGGATAAACTGGAATCTAGATCGTCCTATCATCATCGTCAGAAATAGTGTGCGAATTTCCTTCCGATTAAGTTCGAACCATCCGACATTGTGACAAAGAAAGTGCGGTGTGCAATACTTTACGATAATTTTTCCCGAATGTAAATTACTTTATACAAATCCGTTCGGTCAGTGAAAAAGCATTCCCTTCAACTTCTCCCAACCAAATTCTCTAGAATGCCCGCGATAGTGTTCGCGATGAATTAGTTTCTCACACATAGGCAGCCCGCATTTCCGTCCTATCGATTATCTGTGGCTTTTGCGGTACAGCCAGAGGGTTCGTATCAGCCGGGTCCTTCCCGCGGGATCTCCGCGTCGCCCGAGCGAGGCTCTACTCAAGACCTGTTTTTTTTCAATGATGGTTTTTAGCAAGCGGGAAATGAATCCGAGTTGCTGCAGAGGTTGGTATAATCCCTATATCAGCCTCGTCGCTGCCCAGTCATAGTGATAATTGTCTCCCTCTTTGGAGTACCCTCCATATTCGTTTTTCTTTTTTAATTTTTTTGGATTGCGAAGTCGAATTTGCAAGAGATTACTAAATTTTCTGTCACAACCTTAATCCATGCTTCAAGACGCGTTCGACTGCCTCTTTGTTTTCACCGAACTGTGCTTCTGCTGAAGATAATAATCTTTTTGGTATAGCTAGCAGTTTCTCAAGGATAAATGAAAGTAATCGAACCTTCCACCACTTCATTATCTCTAGAGTATCCTCAGAGTATTTGGAACATTCCGGGTCATTGAAACACTCTTTGAAAGATCCGGAAATTCCCGGATCATAGGAACTATTTGGGTCGTAGAGTCCCTCGTACCTCGAGAGTATTTGGAACCCTTTGGGTCATTGAAATACCCCTCTAACAATTCGGAACCCGTCAGATCGGCATAGTGTCCAACTATTCTCACCGGAATATCTTGAGCTTCCGGATCGTTGAATCTGAAGGAAGATGATCGGGCTGATGAAGAAAATGCAGAGCGACGACCTGCTGCAGCTGGCGCTTTTGCTAAGCCTGCTGCGGGTGGACCGGAACATCTACTCGCACGTGGACGTAGAGGTGCCGGCGGCGACCCTCCCGGCCCGGGTCGGCATCATGGACGAATGGGACGCCCCGACCTACTTCCGTCACTTCCGCCACGGCGAGCTCCACCCCAAAAGCTTGGACTCGATGCTCCTCGACTACGAGCAGCGGGTCTTCGACGACCTCAACTCCCTCGGGCGCTACAACCTCCCGCGGCACCGCAACGTCACCGCGTACCTCCTCAACGTGGGCACCGCACCGGACGTCCTCGCCGAACCGGGCACCGCACCGGACGTTCTCGCTCAGCCGGAGCTGGAGCCGAGGACGGAGGAGTCTCCGCTCCCGCCCATGCCCGAGTCCCCCGACTCGTCTCTCCTCAACGGAAGCCTCGACTCACTGTTCCAGGACGGCCCGCTCAGCCCGCCGATCCCCGACATCGAATCTGAGGTAAGATTTCCCATACCTTAGTTCTAAGTAAATACTAGGGGGCTGTATGCCCCGTGGTCGCTACGCGGGCAAACCTCCTGAGGGTGCTTCGCAAGCTCCATGTTAAGAGCGGGCTCATCTTCGGACCGTCCCGTATCAGTAGCGGCGAAAATCATGAAAATCAGCCCGGTTGCTAGGTATTTAGAAATAACTGTGACAAAAAAAGAACATTTACATTGTCTAAATGAGAGAATTATCATAACTTTTACACTTTATATTGGGTTTTGTCTCCACGGGACGTTTCATGGGATTTGCCCCAGGGAAATATATCGCTCGCGAAGTTTGGAAGAATATTGAGTTAGTCAATACTAATCACAGTACTAAGCAGAATTCTTGTGGAGTCGTAACAGCCACTCAGAGAAGAGAAGAAGAAATTTTGTTGGTTTGTTAAACGACGCAAAAGCCCAGAAGTTTCATTCCTGCGGCTCGGACTTGGGACAAATCCCACAAAACGTCCCGAGGAGACAAGGCCTGAAAAAATTTGTTACATTTTCAAAATCTGAATCGACCAAACTCGTCGTGGGACTATCTGTTATCAATAGCCACAAAAATCATAAAAATGAATATTAAGGGGATCAGAGAACTTATAGTAATGATTTGATTATCAACCAGTTACATTTACCATCACATACTATTTTTGGCTCTTTGTAGAAACTACGTATGTGACATTAGTTCCCCAATGCAGATAGGTGACTTCATAGTCAGAAACAGTAGCTCTTATTGAAAAAAAGGCCAAATTGAACCTGGAACAATGTGATGTACTTAGATCGAGCCCAAATCAATGCTTGTTAATGGAGAACTTGCTGGTGTTTGAAATTTGAAGAATTTCGTGTTTTAGGAGAAACTGCCAAGTGAACTGAAAGCAAGGATAATCCTGGTTCGTAAATTGAACAACTATTGGAGGAGATATGACAACATTATCTAATCTGCTAAAATACATGTGTTTAAAAGGAAAATGCTGACAGATGACTTCACTGAGCGGTGTGTTTTCGAATCGGTTTTGTAATATTTTTCGTATCAGAAATTTTTTCAAAAAAATACACCGCGAAAGAAGCCTTTAAGCACTCTCAAATGAAGCAATAAAAATTTGCGTGCAAATTTTCCATTCAGCAGGTATATCATGAATTATTTTAGAGTCGCTGAAGATTTACTTAATCACATTGTGAGATCATGACGATAATCATGACGATTGATCATTTTAATGTTGACTCGTAGGTTACGGGAAATCAAGCCTTACGCCGGTTAATTGTCCTAATTTCTGGAAATCAAACGACAATCTAAACAGATTATGCACCTCATTTAACCAAGCGCACGCGTGTGTGGAAGAATGATGAAAATCGCAACATTTTTGCACTTAGAATCCAAGGTTGCTTCGTATTTTACGCGTTTACGGGATAAAAACGCGTAGGGAAGTAACAACATCTCATATCATGGGAATCTAATTTGTCTTTTGATGTCTTAATGGGCCTGTCGCAAACTTTTGCTGGAGCAAAATTAAACTTGCCTCTTACGGAAATGGCTCAATCATAACGGGAAAGTCTGACTTGTACTCGTAGTCCTAACTTCACAATCTGCGTATGAAATTTGCGGGTTTTTTTTTAGCTTCCCTCTTCAAAAACAAAACTACGCAGACACTTTTGTCAGGAGGGTCGTTCCATTCAACCCTTGCGTACCAGGATGTTTCACAATATTCAGCATGGCTGACGCTTCCGTGCGCAAATCGAGGGGAGCACAAAGGTCATCAAGGTGGATCTGAATCAACGTGAGAAAAATGGGGACGTTGTACATCGATTATTAACCGGCGTCGGTCATGTTGACTTTTGCGTAGCATCGCAGTACGCAGGGGTTGGAAGGAACGACTCCTCTAAGGAAATATTCACCTGTGCCGTATAGTATCGTTTTTGAAGCGGGAAGCTCAAAAAACGAAAATTTCTTACGCAGATTGTGAAGTTAGGAGTGTATTTCAGACTTTCCCGATTAGCTCATCGTGACTTTTGAGACATTTTTTAGAAGAAAAAACTCATGGTACACGGACTTTATGTCCACTTTTTTTACCGTCCACAGACTTTTCGTCCACAATTTTTGCGTCCACAGTTCTAAAGCCCACACTATTGTTAAGTCCATTACTTAAACGTCCACTAAGTTAAGTCCACTAAAATCAAATTCAAGCGTCATATTTTAGTCCGTGTGTAAAATTATATTGACAATATCGAAATGAGAAAATCAAGAGAGAATGAGGTGTTGTTATCGTAACTCATATTTTAAAGGAAATGTTATTTTCTTCTTTTGATTCATCTTTTCAAATTGTCTTTGGTAAATACTTGGTTTCATTTCCATCCTTGAAATTTCCGATATAAAATATGCCTTTAATGTACATTCTTTTTTTTTAAATGAAATTGATCACTTCATTTTTAAAACGTGGTAAATATTTGTAAAACCTTTTCCAAGCAATGGCATCGATATGAATCTCAATGAGCCATAGTTGTGATGAAAGAAACTATACAAACATTAATAAAAGAGGAAAAAAAACTAAGAAGCACGCAATTTTTTGTGTTATCGTGTATATTTTATTTGTACATCGACCTCCTTGAGTCAAATACGTCCAATTTTGAGCGTTTGGTTGCGCTTACACCACGCTGCAGCACAGTAAAAGCCCAAAACATAAAAGAATAAATTTGAATGCTTTAGAAATCATTAAATTTGACACGGAACCACTATTTTATTTACAAATAACACATTATATTTTCCAGTAGTACATATTTCTTTTTCATCAGTTGAAAAGGTTCATCAGGTTTCATCAGTTTAAATCAATGCAGAGAGTGCGAACATTTCAAAATCATGAGTTGAAAAACGCTGACTCCGCTAGTTTAAATATTAGAGCATAACACAGAGCGGAACGGCGTGTTAGCAGCGCAGAACGCGCACTGGCGCCTACAAACCTAACGGGATACTGCACGCATTGCGCAACGCGTGAAGTATCCCGTTAGGTTTGTAGGCGCCTATGCGCGTGGTACGCTGGTTGCCTGCCGCGCCGGGCCGCAACGCTTTAAGCAACTATTTCGCGTCAGAGGCGTTGCACAGTATCCTAATTCCTAATCCTGTCATTTAAATGAGAAGTAAAAAATGTGGACATAACATGTCCACAATTTGGACAATTTTGGACATATTCATGGTTGACATTAAATCGTGTGGACTTAATGAAGACTGGACTTAACGTTTAGTGGACATAAATAGCGGTGGACATTTATTTAATGGACGGAAGGTAGGTGGACATAAAGTCCTGGAAGCAAACTCATATATTTTTGCGCGAGCAAAAGCTTGTGACAGGCTCATTGATTCTACATAGATTTTATGACATACTATCACTGCACGTCATCGCCAATATGATCGCTTCATTTTCCCTACATCTTCTTTGTCTATCGCTGTGTCTATCAATTTCAATAATCACTCCGCTGGTTGAGTATTCGAGGTGTGAGTGTGAACTTACATCATCGCAGTTGGAAGCGCGTGTCGCGGTTGCGATCACTTCGCGACTATCAAAATATCTCATATCGGACTTCGTAAAAGTAAACAAACTTTATTCCGATGCTGCGGCTAGTTTGCTTGCATTTTAGACTATTGCCACTCTCTCGTGGCCGCATACTTTAACAATAATAGAGTTGTCAATCGGAAAAACCGGGAATTAACCAGAGAATCGGCCTTTAGACAAGGTCGGAACCAGAGAAAAACGTCATTCGTTTTCTCCTCAAAATCCAACGCATAAATTGATCCACACCGGAAAATGTGTAAATCCCTTTTTCGTCTTTTCCCTCACGAAAGAACGTAACTACACTTCAATATTGCAGAATTTTTCCCTGTAAATTGGATTTTTACTAGGAGAATCTTGGACATTTCTAACTGAAAATTTCACCGATATTTCCTCTATTCTCACGCGTAAAAATCAGAAAAGTTTTAAACAGAAAAATTGCATTGGCACGTTTTTGTAAAAAAATTTAATTGTTTGAGTCGATTTTGCAACCCTTCGAATGAGACCAAACTCGAGTCTCTAGCGGGCTGATTGTTGAGATTCATAGAGAAAGCTATAGATAAGGAAGATATAGGGAGTATAGAGCTATCCTATTGGTTGAAATGCGTGATTCTTTTAGACTGAGGGGGTAAATTATGGACTATAACAGTAGGGTCTTTCATGGGTTGCCGTTATTAGTTTATTACCTACCTTTCTTATTCATCGCAACCACCCGCTTTCACCAATAGATTCCTCCATACCCCTTTTGTCTTTTTGTCCACAGCTTTGTCTATCAATTTCAACGATCAGCTCGCAGCTAGCTTAGGTAAAGAGAATGACAATGCTCCTTCAGATCCCTCACCAACTCAATTTCCCTAAAAAGCGCGATGGTTCCCGGCTGTTAAATGCGATCCAAATGTACTTTTAGTCCTGCAATCCATTCCATTCATCCAATCAACGATCCGTGCGTTAAACAGTTCCGTCATAAATTCTTTCCGAAATTCCAATGAGCCTCGTCGTCACTCAATGCAAACGAAATCCACCCGTTCAGCCATCAGCTAAGGTCATTCGACTAATCACCGGCATTATGCATTCGTTCGCCAACAAAAAACTAGTTATTTATAAAACGGGTACCGCTCGTGTCTTGCTGCCATCAATAATAGTCAGATTTGCCACCACGCTTGTTCGCCACGCGTATCGTTTTTTTGGAGTGGCTTTTTGGTGCGGCTTCAGGTGTTCGATCGACGCTTTCGACGGTTGTAGAAGTGACCGCACCATACGGATTCTCCATCATATTGAATTGGATCCAAACAATAACAATGGCATAACCTCTTTCAATGCTAGCAATAAGAATAAATCGATATATATCGCTTCTCTGTGACGTGGCACTAATAGCGTCTATTCCGTTAAGGAAGAGCGCCGATGAGCCTGCGATGAGCTTTCAACACGGGAAAAA